GTTACACGCAATTATGAATTAAATTGGCGTGCAGGGGGGAGAGCAGCGCGGTTTCTTCCTCAGAAGGAGAGGAAAGCTGGAGGAGCTGGGCTGCTGTGCCAGGTCATGTGTGACCTGTGTGTAAGTTGTGGAATTTCTGACCTAAATTCCAGTGTTTTCTCCTGGATATAATGCTGCCTTCCTATAGCACAGAGTGCTGGTTTATGAGTCTTCATTCTCCTTTAATTTAACATCCCTTCTGTTCATTCAAATAATGTTTAAATCCGTTTTTCTTGATAGTTCTGTGTTGCTTTGTAGTAATTCACAATTATTGTCTATAAGCTGATTGTTGAGATGTTTAAATGTGCCAGTTTAGATGTGAAAAAACACCCTCTGTGGGAATTCCAGACCAAAGCTCCAAAGGACACCTCTCCTAGAAGCAGCTCAGCAAAAAATCCTGAAAAATTACCTGGGAAGAGCCAACTCCAGCTCAGCAAAAAATCCTGAAAAATTACCTGGGAAGAGCCAACTCCAGCCCAGCTTTGCAAATAGGATTTTTCAACGTAACACGGAGTTGACCGCGGAGAATGAAGGGTCCTCTACTCAAGGAATTTCTGTGAAGATGTTTGAAAGAGGGAGGGAGTCAGTTTGAAGTTTTTGGTAGCAAGGGATTTATTTTACCCAGGGATCCAGCTGGGAATTGTCCAACCAATAGCTCTGCAGAGGGTGCTAATTGTTCCTCACCCTAAAATCTAAATTAAATGCTGCTGTGATTTGTCACCTCAGATTTAGGGCTGGCAGCACCATCCCGAAGGAAAGAGCTGGAGGAATGGGAAGTTGGGTGGAAGCAGATAGGATTTCTCCAAATGGGAAATAGGATTTCATCCCCTGAGACAAAGACAAGCCTCCCATGTGAGGGACACGGGCCCAGGGATGAGGAGACACAGCTCACATTTCCACAGCTCCCAGTCTGGAACAGCTCAGCTGTAAATGCCACAACTCCTCAGCCACAGCCTGGAGCAGCTGCAGAGCAAAGGAAACCTGCCCTGCTGCAAACAGCATGTCCTGGCCTTGTCTGGCACAAGTGTTGAGTTAATTGAGACAGAAAGTTCGTAAAAACTGCCAGCTCTGCACACACAGAGCCCCACATGAAAGGGGTCTGACCCCATTTGTCTCCATTACCCTGTCACGAGGAGGATTTTCCCTCCACACAAGCATCAGTAAAATACAGATGTGGGGCTCAGTGCCCCCAAAACCCCCAGCAGACTCATTGCTCCAGCACTGGGCTTTGACATTTTGGAATCCTTCTAAGGAGGAGCCTTCCCAYGCCTGCAGCTGCTCCAGAGAGCCTGGAAGGGGTGGTTCAGTCACCAGCTCCATCAGCCTTGGCATTTTATCCCTGGAGGGCTTGGTGGRATAAGAAAGGCTTTGAATCCTCTGYTCCAGCTACTGAATCTCCAGCACATGGATTTTAGTCTGCACCACTCCTCTGAATGAATTCTGAAAGGAAAAAAATGTCCTGAGGAAGAGCCTTTGGTTCTGGGTGGGGGAAATGAAACTCAGAGCACCCAAAGGTCTGGGTGGACAATGAAGGAGCTGGTATTTAACCACACAAGAAGCTATGATTAAATTAATCCACTATTCTCCTTTTTTTTTTTTGCAGCTCTTTGGGGGAATTAGATCAAGAAAGTAACAAAGGAATGCCACAGTCTGCCAATAATGTAATTAAGGAACCAAGCCTCATCTGAGCTTTCCCTTGCCAAGGAGCTTGCTGGATGCAAGTTGGGAAAAAAACCAAATTCAGGACTTTAAAGAGGAGACAGAGAGATATTGTGAAGAAGTGTTTGAATAGCCAGCTATTCCCTACTCCCCTTAACACTCTCAAAATGCAGAAAACCCTGATGATGAAATAATGCACCTACATGGGGAAGACTAGGCAGAAAAAAGGGATTTTCTTAGGGCTGGTTACAGCCCAGGAACAGGGTGATGGTTTTGAAAGACAGCTGGAGTTGAAGGGSATCTGGAACTTGTCCCAAATCCACTGAAAATGTTTATCCCATCCTATGGAGACGTGTTAAAAACACAGCCCAGGGGACCAGCGCACCCAGAGGCCTCTGTGATGCTTTTAGAATGTTCTCCTGCTCCTCATAATTAAATTCAAGTTACAGAGGCCTGAAGCTGCCAAGATTCAGGCGGGACAAAATATACAACCGCTGGTTCTGTGGAAATAATTTACATTGGAACAGGTCCAGCATTGCTGGGCACTGCAGAACTCAGATAAATGAGCCCTGAAGAAGCAGAAAAAAGTTCCAAGTGGTGCAAAACGTGGGTGTAAATCTGAGCTCAAACTCTGGCAAGCCCTGGAGCCGCTCTGCAGGTAGTAAGTAGCCAGAATTAGGAAGAGTTTTAATGTACCAAGCAGAGAGATTTGATGATAAATTGGATTTTAGGGAGGAATTGTTCCCTGGGAGGGTGGAGAGGCCCTGGCACAGGGTGTCCAGAGGAGCTGTGGCTGCCCCTGGATCCCTGGCAGTGCCCAAGGCCAGGCTGGACAGGGTTTGGAGCACCCTGGGACAGTGGAAAGTGTCCCTGCCATGACAGGGGTGGAACTGGATGAGTTTAAGATCTTTCTCAAACCAAACCAGCCTGGGATTCTGTGATATCCCTCCATTATTTTTTGAGGGACAGGCTAGAGGGGCCATGAACAAACAAGAACCGTGCTGGAGATTTCAGTTTATGGATATGTAAACAAACGCAACTATGCAGAATATAAAAATACTTCTCTTCCTATAACCCAAACACTATATAACACAGTTATACAGTACATCGTGTTTAACAAGAACATTGAACCACAACTGAAATAAACATTTTCCAGCTTACAAAATTGGCATTGGAATGGCAAAAACAGGGCCCTGCCAGGCTGGGAGGGAGCTCCCACGAGAGTCAGATTGTCCTCTGCAACCACATCCAGCTCCAAGGACACAGCCCAGGTCTGAAACACWGCCTGGGTTTAGTGCTGCCCTTGATCTCTGCCTGCTGCTAACAGGGTGTTTTGGGATTTTGTGCTTTGTGCTCAGCTAACAACATCCAGATTGTCCTGGGCTCCACATGTTGGGCTCTTTCAGCCGTGCCAGCATAGATGCTGGTCTCAGATGGTGCTGGGGTGAGATCTGGGTGGAGGGGACAGTGATCTGCAGGTGCTGGGCTATGCCAGTGTCCAAAGGTGACATTTCAATCCTTGGGGAGTCACTTTTCCATGGGGTGACCCGTGGGTGTGAGCTTTTGTCCACAGCTACTAAGTGCAGAAGAGAAGCCTGAAGAAAATGCTCTGTCCGAAGGAAAACCATGAGGGGAGGTGATCCTCTCTATTTTAACTCTTCATTCCCTTTCCTCACCCTCTATTTCCCCCCATAACAGCAATCCCTGRCTTCACTTCCCAGCAAAATTCCCTGGCATGAATTGAGCAGGTTTTGTTGCTGAGAACCTTTTTATAGCAGTAGAGATACAGAGAGAACCACCCTAAAGCACAGTTACAGCTAGAAAACCTTCGAGCACCTTAATTCTAAATAAATCAAATATATTCCCTTGGATACAGAGCTTTTTAAGTCCCAGCTCACTCTTTCTTCAGGTTCCCATCACCATAGCCCAGCAAGCTCAGAGATGAAATCCTTTGGCTCCCACYCTACGTGCAGCTATCGATGCTTGGRCAYGGATCAAAGTGAATTTCCACAGCTTTAGGGTACMAGGGATAATTGGAAGAGTTTGATGTGATTGTCCACAGGGTATAACCCTTCTCTGATTTTAGAKCAGATAGAAAATAAATCCAATGCACCAGCAAGGCTCTGCTCTGCTCAGCRGGGCTGCTGCTGGGGTAAAGTGAAGTCAAGCAGGGTTTTGTGGCTGTGTCTGGACTGTTTTGTGGTTCTGTTTCTTCCTCCCTTCAGGTGGAGCTGGACAAGCTGCTGGAGGAGGAATTCGGGGGGAAATTACAGAATAAACAGGGCTCAGCCAGCCCTGAACAGCACCCTGATGTCTGTAACCTTATACACATACAGATACAGATATTTACAGCTCTCACAGTCCC